CATTGAACGAAATCAATGGGATTGAATAACATGTACACAGGAAGTTTATTGTTTATGCAGGTATCCACTAATGACCTTGACTTCATACAACTTTTGTTTCGACCGCACAACTTCTGATTCGTCTGCACGATCGACCTGTGGTTCATTGTCCAGAAACTGCAACGCGTCACTCCGTGGCTGGCGTTATCCCGCAGGTTAGGATCACCACATCAACTCCCTATTTCTCAGCCTGGCTACTTGTTGTTATCACAGTATTATATACGTGTTTATCTGTGTACGTTGTCAGTTGCTTCGAAAAAAGACAACACTGTGGTAACCATGTAGGTAAGAGGATCACGTCGCTTGCCGGAATCGAAAACACTACAATACACATGACACATTTACAATGCAGTCATTTCACAGTCAAGCTGGTTGTTGTTCCAATCATACAAAAAAATTCAAAAAATATTTGTGACGCAACTGGTTTTGCCGTGGTAATGATGATATCACACTTGATACCACTCTACCACAACATGACATGACATGACCTTCCCTCTCCCTCCCTCAACCACATTCAACAAATATTATTGATACCCGTTGTGCATTTTTACAGAAAATCATAGTTGTTAAACTTACAAACCTAAGGGAATTGATGTGTACACCTCAGCTGCGCTTGTGTGTACCATGAAATTAGGGAAGGGGAGGGGTTATTGCACTGCGGCCCAATTGGGTATTATCCTCCGACTTAAATATTATTACGATGTGGAAAACTCGAAATTTTATGTTAGAATGATAACTGTTATATCTGTACGCCACTGGTTTAGGTAGAATACGAGTCACTGGACTGGATTTCGAAGAAAAAATGTTTAAAAGGTGAAAAAAATCGTGTTCACGGCTCATTCTTTTAGTTGGCCTTTGTTAACCAAGGAATATGCGTAAAACTATATATTCACTAAGTTTTCGGGTGCCAACAAATTTGACCGTATTGATTGTTAAAGATAGTAAATTTCCCCTGTGTTCTACTGTTTAGATATAGCCCACGTTGCACAATAGTGCAACAGTTTATGCATCTAAACTTGGGTGCCTTTTCAAAAGTGCAGGTTTCCGTACATCGATTTTTAATTCTTAAATGGATACTGCTGTCATCTTTGCATGCAGTCAGGCTTGTGATAGTCTTTCCTGTAAGATATTAGAGAACAAAAGAGGCTGATACTTGATTCAGAACTCTTTTAGAAGTTCAAGACAACAATAGATTTTTTACCACTGCCCGGTTGTCAATACCATCGATGAAAGAACCGCTGTCTCCTCACGCCAAATCTAATTGTATCCATCAGTTCAAGTGCGGATGCTCAGCCATCTACATCGGCAGAACGGAGAGACAACTGCGTTATCCAATAACCGAGCACATCCCGGTTTGGTTTCAGAAAACAATGAGTGGAAACTTCGGAAGTATGAGGTCAACAATGACGCGTAGGAAACTCTGTTCGTCGATCACACAACACCTGGTCGAAATGAAACACTGTGTCATGCTGTGCGATACGTTCAGAATCCTCTACAACACAAACAACACCAAGGTTCTGAAATACGCCGAGGCACCAGCCATTCAAAATTACCATCCCAAACTATGTAAACAGCGTGAATGGCTTATCACTCTGGCGCTACCTTGGTAACAAATGTGTTTGGTGAGTAATTTTGACCGCAATCTTTCTCCGCCTATGATTCTGTTATTCACTGACTATATATTAATGATCACATAGACTGCAGTATGCACGTGTACAGATGCAGCGAAATGATCCAGGATACATTGTGCAAACCTGTGTTTTTGGCTTCTTTGTTCAAACACCAGAGTCATTTATTAGTTTGCAGTATACCTGTAACATTAACGGATGTGCCCAATTTGTGAATATTTTATTGAGTGATAAATTCCACATTAACTTTTTGGGTGCACTTGATAAACAATGGAGGACACCGGTTAGCTGAAAATGTTCTGTCACGTTTGATAAAAAGGGATATAAAAGCTGAAAATGGTGGTATGGTAAAATATGCTCCCCATAATCTCGCCGTATGCTTGGATCTGCTGCGAGTAGTTTGAGAACAGGAACATAATCGGAAATTATTGGCTGAAGACAAGTATGTATGAACTTTGCACATGACTGGTTATACCAATGAGATTTATCTCGAAAGTTGAAGACAGACGAAAAATTGATACAGCTTTGTTCAAGCTCCAACTGCTTAAATGCTGTTGGTGGTTCGGTTGCTGTAGTATACTAATCTTAGGGTTCAAAATTCTCTATTGAACCGTACACAACTCCACGCATTGAAGCATATCCTCATTTTATTAATGGTAAGCGATCAAACGCGGTTCGAGGAATATAAATCTCCCGATTATCCTCGTAAAGTGCTTGCAAATGTCATACAACGCGTTATACAGTTAGATTTCTCCAGCTAGTGCACATTCTGCCAGTAAAATACCAGCCATTCAGTCTACTCAATTCATAATCGTAGCTCAAAATATTGGATTCTACACCTATTTCATCTGTAAGTCCCTTAACGAGAAAGCCAAACATGTGCATTGTGCACTTTTGGACTACTCTTCCGCTTTCGACTCGGTGCCACGTTCTCTTATACTTAACAACCTCCAATTGTTTGATTGTCCTACTTCTGTTCTTGAATAGCTTGGTGATTACGTTTCGTAAAGATATCAGTATGTTAAACTGGAATGAAGACAGTCAACGGCATCGATCAATAGTTCGGGCGTACCCCAAGGTGCTATCCTATCACCTTATCTTTTATCGACTTATATCAGTGACTTACCTGTTACTCCCCCTGTTTGACATTTTAAGTATGCTGATAATACCGCCATTTCGGTTTCAGTAGCTAACCAATCAGAACTGGTTGAATATAACACAAACCTATCCCACCTCAATTCATATTCCACTTCATTCGGTCTTAATCTCAATCCTGAAAGAAATGCCTTGAATATATTTGTACTCTAAACCGTACCCAATCTCCATCCGGCAATGTACAGATTCATGGAAAGCCGATGATCAGGGTCATCCATGTGAAGTACTTGGGTGTCATACTTGAAAGTAACCTGTGCTGGTCCTTACATACCCAAAGTGTTGCTTGCAAGTTGAAAAGTCTCTCTTTTCAGATCAGAAAACTGCGCCACTTCTGTTCTGACGCGTAGGTGATAAACGGTTTCGTTCAACAATGTGTCCTCACTATACCCCTGTAATTTTCCCTGGTTTGCTGAAGGCTGATTTTAAGTTGCTGAAGCGTGGCCGTATCTCCCAAGTTCCGTTATCTGTTCTTATCGACAATGTGTAATGCCCATATTGATGCGTGCTTGAAATTTGCTGACGATATCCTATCCGATTGCACCCATCCTCTAAACATTGACTTGTGTGCATGCAAATCCCACCCCCCCCCCACCCGTTCTACGTATAAACTTATC